GCTTCTTGTTCCTAGTAGTAAGGCATTTGTTACTAGTAGCGATGCACTTGTTACTACTCGTAGCGTCGCTACGATCGGCCCCGTGTTCTCCTTCGCGATCCTCGTGCTCGTGTTGTGTTCGCCGTGTGGGATGTCAATCTTCGCCAAGGTGCTCACCCACACTCAGGCGTGGAGTGGGGAGTGGGATTGTGGTTACTTTTTATCCTCTTGAATGTAAAAACAGAAGCCATGGCCGCCAGGCCTCCCAGCAATGGCCTTCTTTGATGTTCTTCTTTGTGTGAAGAATCGACTTAAAAAAAAGGTATGACGAACCAAATTGAACGAACCATGAACATCCAACCCAAAATCAATGCGGAAGAACCCGAGCCCGGTTGTTTTCCGAAGTAACTAGCGGGGCTACCAAGCTGTAGATAGCGGATTCGGTTCCACGGTTCCACCGAGTACCAGCTGTGCAAATCATACATATATAGATATTGAAGAAAAAACATATATATAGAGATGAATGAATCTAAGTGTTTTGCATATATATATACAATAGATTTCATTAATGATCACTGCAACTGCGGTAGCAGTGGAAGTAGGGAGTCTCTAGGTTCCCAGCCAATCGAGTCTCTGAACTTCTGCGCGTGCCTGAAGACGTCGAAAGTCACACAACGGACATGTTCGATTGCAGTCACCCCCCCCCCGCGCGCGCCAAAAGGTCCTAGTAGATTCCTTCGCTAGTAGGAACAAGTGCATCGCTAGTAGTAACAAGTGCCTTACTAGTAGTAACAAGAAGCTATTAATTAGAATTCTAATATAAATTCTTATTGTTACTAGTAGTAAGGCACTTGTTACTAGTAGCTTCTTGTTACTACCAGTAAGGCACTTGTTACTACTAGCGAGGCACTTGTTCCTAGTAGCTTACATGCCATGCGCCATGTCAAAAGTCCGGTGGTACCAGACCTGAGGCTTCCATAGCCGTGGACCACGACCCTGCCCATATCCAAGTGCTCTTCGTAGGTCATAGCGATAGGTCCATGGTGTTGCAGGAACACGCCCACTACCTCAGCGAGTGTTTGTCGGCTCTGCAGGTGGATTCGGTCAGGAGAAGCGACTGCGCTTGCACATGCACCAACCGAACTCAACCACTCAATTGGCCTGGAGTCGCGTGCCAGACGCCCTCTAGCTGCCATGAACACATTTCGCATGGTGCAGATGTGGTGCAGATGGTGTAGTCCACATTCATCTCATTGGTCATGTCGCTGGCTCCTCGTTCAGCTGCTTGGCTTTGTTCATGGATCACAGCTTCTCACAGGCTCTGTGCTTCCAAGCGCTTTAGGCCCCGGTGCTAAGGCGACTTTCGTTGTCCAACCGGATGCCCAAAGAAACCCTACTGAAGCACTATCCGGGAGCGCGGCCGCCATGGCGAACCCAACTCTACGCCACCTGCGCTGGGCCCTAGCGCTTCGGTCAAGATGTTGGTCTTCGGCAAGGATCTACCCGTGATCTCTGATCTCGGCGGTTCGTGAGCTTGTGGCGATGGGTGACTTGAGACTTGTGGTTCGTGCGCTGCGCTTTGTGTTTGTGAACTCGTTGCGACTGCTCTGTCGATCCATGAAAGAGGGCTGGGAGCCGTGTGTTTCACGAACAAACAGCTTTCTCGTCAAACAGGTTTTGTCATTGTTTTCAAACAGAGAGAAGACTGCTCGAGAAAAACTAAACAGAGTTCTCTGAGCGGCCCGACGAACCAAACGGTGCACCACCGGGGTGTTCTTGTTGGCGACGTTGGTTGGCTTCACTTTATTCAAGCACTGGCTAGACTCACACAATCAACGTGCCATCACTCAACCGTGACACGCCAGTGCCACAGTACTTGAAGGGTCCTGGTCCGGAAATTGAAATACTTCTTGATTTCCTGCTCAGTGTAAGCATACGCAGACGAAGAGTCACCTCCAAGTCACCTTCTCCCAACATCACGCAAGTGCAACGCTTCGGGGTGGTGAGGGAAGAGGAAGAGGAGAAGGAGGAGGGTCGGCACTTCTCCCCGCGGAGTCGCCAAGGCATCGCCATGGCATCGCCTCTGAGGCAATCGAAGCGGTCGACCAATCGGCCAACCAGCCCATCCTCCAAAACATTCGGAGCAGCTGACCTTGACTTTTTCGGTCAAGGCGTGCCAACCGGCTCCGTCTGAAATGATCACGCTCCATTTTCGAACGGCAAAATCTTTGTTGGCCTGGTGCACCAGCTTGTCTTCCTAGGAGCGCGTGCCGCGTTCTTCCCTCTTGCTCTGAGTTTTCTTGGATGCCTGGGCTTCCCGTTTCGCCGCCCAGTTGACGAATAGTGAGATGTCACACCGTCACACCATCGCTTCGCCCTAGGGTCCGCGCGCCGCTTGGAAGTGTGACCCCGGCCATGGTGCTCGATTGGAGTGCAACGCACAATAAGAGCGATGCCCTTTGCTCCTAGTAGCGTCTTTGCTCCGTTCGTAGCGATGCCAGGAGCCCCTAGTAGCGTCCTTGCTCCTAAGAGCGATGGCCTCCAACCATATTGCAGAACGATGTGATTCGAGCTCTTTTGCAGGTTTATGCCATGGCTTGCGTGGCCGCCAATGCAGTTTGTGTGGTCAGTACGCGCTCCACTTAGGCATCGTTTCTGGAGCTGTTTTTTGCTTGTTTGAGGCATGTATATGTTGTTTTCCTTGTGTTTTGCACAATGTCCCAACAAAACGCTTCCGCCAGCACTTCTGTGGGGGCTGTCATGCAATGACACGACCAAAAAAAGACAAAAGAGGAGGAAATCGCTTGCGAACCAAAAAGACGGAGGAAAAGCAAAAGGAAAGTTGCAGTCCAGTGCAGCCTACTCGACTTTAGGCTGGCGTGCTTTGAACAAATCGATGAGATCGCTCAGTTGCTTGGTGGAATGTCCATTCCAACGCATTCCAATGTGCATCGTTTTGTTTGTTTCCAACATGTGCAGATAGCGGGAAGAAAGGAAAGAAAAAGGAAGATCTAAAGGGAAAAAAGAGATGAGATGAACGGGAAAAGGTAAGAGAAACTCAGAAAGGATCTAGATCAGAAGAATCTGAGATGTTTCATGTGTTAAACTCGTTTGGACCAAACATTACATATTTGTGTTTCGCAGTGAGGTTACAGCGAAGAATCCACAAGTATCGACAAAGGCCGGCGGGCGCGCGGACTCGGAAGGGTAGTAAAGGCTTCAAGAAAGGGGAAGGAAACCCAACCTACTAGCGGCTTCCATCCTGTAACAGGTGCCACGCTACTAGAAACAAGTGCCTTACTAGTAGTAACAAGAAGCTATTAGAAACAAGTGCATCGCTGCTAGTAACAAGTGCCTTACTAGTAGTAACTAAGAAGCTACTAGAAACAAGAGCAAACTCGGATGGCCCATGCACTAGGCTCAACTTTTCCACCCCCCCGGGGGTACACGGTCCCTTCACCTTTTTCGTGGAATTTTCATGGCAGACCACTTTGCTTGCTCAAATTAATGTTTCTTGAACATAGAAAATGAACCATGGGTAGAGTCCATTCGCAAAAAGAAGAACTGGAGAAAAGCGGGAATAATTTTTGTACAATGCTTTGCGTTGCTTATTCAAATTCATTTTGGTTTCTGAACAGAGAAAATGAACCATGGGGTTCAGATGTCAAGCTTTGGAATACATAGTCAATGAGTTTTGCAAGACAAAAAAAGATCCAAAATGTTGGTCATTAAGCTATTTTGTCAGGGTTCAGATGTCAAAGCGAATTGGAATACTTAATCCTGTGCAGTGAGCCTCTGTTTGGGAAAGCTGGAAACTATCTAAACCTCTGTCAAGTCAAGGTCATGTCGATCCGGAAAAATCAGCAAAAAACTATGCTTACAAACCATCGATGACATCATGTCATGCCAAGGGCGACATCATGTCATGCCAGGGTGGACAGCGTGTCATGCCAGGGATGACGTCATGTCACACCCACGACATCGCGTCATTCCAGGGGTGACATCATATCATATTGCGCGTGACAACGTGCTGCGCAGCAATGATCATAATGTCGTTCGTGCAGCTTTGGCTGGCCCTTGCCGATCTTGCAGTCTTTTTGCCTTTGTTGGGCAACAGGCGCATTCAGTAAGTTGATAGATGTTGCGCATATTTGGGACTGGTCTGATGTTGCGTGCGGCGGTGACAGCCGTCCGTGGCGTGTCCTTTTAAGCCCATTCACCCGCTATCTGGGGTCTACGCTGGTGTAATGGGAAAGAAAAAGAGAGAGAGAGAGAGCGCATCCTCCAACCAGCCTGAAACTTTCATGCCTGAGCGGGGTCAAAAGTAGAAAAGAAAAGACAGGAATTGTTCGCATCTTTTCATGTAAAATGTTCTTGCTTGCTTTTGTTCGCATCATTCAGCTCTCAAAGTGTGTCCGCAGGAATGACCAAGTGCAGGAGAGGCACCGGGAAGCAAAAGAGAGCTGGGCCAAGGCAGGAGAGCTCGTGCGTAGATAGTTTTCCTAAGCAAAACCTTTGCCTTGATATTGTTTGTTGCTCTTCAATGCTTTTCTCTTCTCTTCATCTCGGTATAAAAGTACTTCTTTCGGTGTTTGTTCGTTCGTTGTTTTTCTCGTTCTGTGTCATGCCCCTCTGAAGATTCGGGTGGTGAAGAAGTTGCTGCCCGACGCGTCAGGTGCAGCAACTGCACGATTTGTGGAATTACAGGACGAAAGACGAGACGTCGAAAAAGGAAGGAGAAGAAAATCAAGACATAAAATGGAACGCATTACGAAAGCCAGCCGGTAGGAGTTGTTGATGGGTGATCGAAATGAGTATACAGGTTGTGGGGGGGGTGGTCGCACGGCCGGTCCGGCCGGGTAGGGTGAACCCAGAGCCTGTCGGTGGAGAGCGAAAAAAAAACGGCCCGGAAAGTAGTGAAAATGTATGGTTTTGAGGTCCTGGCGACGCGAGCGATGCAATTGACGCCGAAGAGTGCATCACGAAGGGCTCCGACAAGGGGTGGGAGTTCGGGTAGAGGACAGGAAAGGGGGACTATGCGACAGGAAATGCAAGAAAAGAGGTCATCCCACACTGAGGGAGCTCACCAGGCTAACCAGGTGCATCCATCCAGTCAGAGGACAGAAGCGGTGAGATTTGCCCAAGCCAGAAATTTTTCTGATAGAGATAGCATTTGGACAATACAGGGGGACCTTTGCGGGCTTCAATTTACAGCTGCGTCTTGATCTGGGATCTCCTGGTTGCTCCTTAAAGAGGATTCCCCATATTGAGGTGGGCTCACCAGATCGAAGAGAGCAGATAGGGGACAGGAGAGGGAATAGAATGCAGTCAGCAACCTTTGAGTTGCTTGGGGGCGCCCTCTTTTATTGTGAAGAGGGCTGTTAACTCAACTGGATGAAAAAGGGCACCCCTCAGAGCTACTATAGATGTGCAAGCATTCGGACTTTGGTACGGATCGAAGTCTTGTGCATGAGCAGTAGCAGTGGATGGGAGTTGATCCAGGCGTTGCGTATATCGGCTTTATCATATCGAGCTTCAAAGCGAGACCATCTCTCAGCCTCTGCTTTTTCGTGGTTAATAAGAGTGGAAGAGAACTGGGGGCGTTCACCAGGCTAACCGGATGTGGCCATCCGGTTAGAAGAGAGAAGCGGCGAGACTCTGCGCAAGCTAGAATCTCTTTCTCATGGAGAAAGCGTTCGAGGAACTTAACAGGATATTTGCGGGCTTGATCTTTACAACTGCGTTTTGATATGGGATCTCCTGGAGAGGAAATGGAATGCAGTCAGGAACCTTTGAGTTGCTTGGGGGTGCACCTTTTTCTTTTTAATCTAGGCAGAGAACGAGAGTTTGTTCACGTGTTCGGCTTGGCAGGACCCAGCCCTTCCTCATCATCATGGGTGCACTTCCCAGCTTCACAGTCTCACATGCGGTGCCTCAGTGCGGCGGCTTAGGCAAGATCCACCGAGCTTTGGACAATCAGGCGCTTAAGCAAGAACATATATGTTGCATGTACTGTGCATATCTAAAACACAAAAGCTTGGAGTTTTTCCAGCTGTCCCATGTGTGCTGAATGCGGCTCTCAATTCGGTCTTTGGACTGTTTCGCGCATTGTGAAAATGCGTGGCGTTGGGCCCCATAACTCCGGGTCTCAAACAGCGCAACATTTGGCAACATATCATTGCAGCATATTGGAACGTGTACGTCATGTTCGCAATTACATGCAAGGGATTGAAAACACATTGGAATGGATGTTCCAGAAAGAAGGCGTTGCTAGAGGAAGTGCCCAGGAGAGAACGAAGGTATCTCTTGGGGGAAGTAGAGTGACCCTAGACGAACGCAGACAACACATTTCAAGATGCGAGGGGAAAGGTTGAAATGTCCGAGATTCGCCAATTGAAAGAGAACGAAGGCGTTGACAAAGAAAACATTGTTTCATAATTGTCACAGAACATTGTTTCCAAACATCGCCCTGCATCGAGAACGTTGCCGGCAGGATCGAGAGCATGCCAGGCAACACGAGACGATCGAGTCGCAAATCGACATGTTTTTTTGCCTTTGTTCTGAACTGTTTTTTTCTTCGTGTCGCATCACATGGAGATGATGAAAGAAGTAGCGGGTTCCAACTTTTTCATGGAGTTTAACCTGATGTTTTTGGTGAACTTGTGCAGGGCACTAGAGCTCGCCCGACGGCGAGGAGAAAGTCTCTCAGATGAGAGTCTTTCCACCCAATCACGGGCGGAGTGGCCATTTGGAAAGCAAGTGTCGTCGCCTCTCGGACGTCGTCGTCACTCGCGTTTTGGTGTTTCCAACTCACATTCCCCATTTGGATCAAGAGGTGACTAGGCTGTGAAGTGAAAAACGGAGGTCGTATGAAGTGAAAAACCGTTCAACATGAAAAACGTGTTCATCGCATTCTCTCATATGAAACAACGTGTAGTCACTACTTTGCTCCGCTTTTCCGTTTTTTTCGAACCTTCCCTGTGTCGCGTCGCTCAGGATCCGGCGCGCCAATCAATCCTTGGAGTGCTTGGATCAGAAGTTGGGAAACATCCAGAATTGGACCAAGGAAGGCAACGCTCCGTTAGCCAAGGACACAAGAAGAAAGAGAAAGAACAAAGAGAGAACGATAAAGAAGATGAGAAAGAGTAAAAACAATGCAAATAAAAGGCAAAACAGAAAGAATAATGAAAGGAAATGAAGGAACAAGACCAGAAGGTCGCTTCGAAGGTAGATTGAAAGGAAGTTCAGATATGAAGAGAGAGTACGTGTAGGTTACGAAGGTACTAAGTTACTAAGGTAGGTTGTCGATTGGGTTTCGTTTCTCACCGTGGTTTGTTTATCCTTTTTTCTCCTAAATAGAAACAATGCTCCGTTCGTAGCGATGCCCTTTGTTCCGTTCGTAGCGTCCGATCGCTCCTAGTTCGTGGAGGACTGGAAGGAGACGATTGGGCGACAACTCCGCGAAGCGGAGCGCGAAACGGAGATCGACAAGCTCGTCCAGGCGGCAGACGGAGCGGCCATCGGCAGAACGAGCGCATCAGACGGCACCTTGGTTGTTAGCTAAAGCAGCTACTTGTACACAACTGTAAGATTTAGTAGTCCTCCTCATTCATGTATCCTCACAGAAACACAACCGAAGGACAGAAGACCTGTGACACCGAAGCAGAATGAACAACTACAGTAAAGAACGGCCAGGTTCTGCCAATCCTCACCAGTGACCTTCGTCAGATTGAGGGCGGCATCGGGTCAGCCACAAAGTCAGAAAGTGAAAAGACAAAGAAAAGAAAAACTAGTCGCGTCCTTGCTACTAGAAGCGATGCCCTTTGCTCCTAGTAGCTTCCTGCTCCTAGTAGTAAGGCCAGGAGCCCCTAGAAGCTTCTTGTTACTACTAGTAAGGCACTTGTTACTAGTAGCGTTAAATTCTTGCAAAAGGGAGAAAGAATGAGAAAGACACGCGACACACGTTTTCTTCGAGGCCATCCGGCCGTGAGAGGCGTCGAAACGAGCGGGGAGTGCGCTTCCTTTGCGCTTCGATGTTTGCGTTGGTTAGGCCATTTGCTATCGTCTTTCTTCAGGAGCAAAGGGCATCGCTACTAGTTAACAAGGGCCTTGCTGCTAGTATCGCTTCCTTTGAACGGAGTTTCCTTCGCTTCGATGCTTCGCAGATGTGTCGATTTGTGATTCGTGAGGCGTGCAGCCTCCCCTGAAGCCCGATGAGGAAGAAAAGAGCTTCGGTGTTCGTTTTCTGTTTTTCTTTTGTTTCGTTTTTGGTTTTGCGCTTATTTGCGCTTTGCTCGTTTCGCCGCTTTCGCCTTCAGTTCAAGACACGCCTCCCGAAGATCCGACAAGTCTCATCCGACACGTCTCTCACGTCTCGATGAGCGACGACAAGTTCACAGCGCCTCGTCATTTGAGGATGGCAAGAAACTGATAAAGAAGAGAAAGATGAGAAAACAACAGAAAACGAGTCAACCAAAGAAGAAAAGAGAAATGACAAATCGCAAAAGATGATGAGACAATTCGCATGATCTACTAGAAAAACAGCCGAGAAAGCCCAAAGTGTTTGCATAGGTCTTGTGCTGCGGCGGAGGGAATGCGGCACAGGCCGGCGGTGTGAAACGAAGAAAGGGTAGTAGAAATCGGGAAAAACACAAAACCTGTAGTAACAATGTTCGCTACTAGTAGCAGGTGCATCGCTACTAGGAACAAGTGCCTTACTAGTAGTAACAATGTTCGCTACTAGTAACAGGTGCATCGCTACTAGGAACAAGTGCCTTACTAGTAGTAACAATGTTCGCTACTAGTAACAGGTGCATCGCTACTAGGAACA